GTGGATATAATATATTAGTGACATCGAACCTGGGGGGGTTTCAATTAATTAATCAAACATTTTGTTTTACTATTATGAAGGAGATAAGTGAATGAAATGCTTTTGAACTATACAGGTCGTCCTAACTCACAATAGATGTAATGAATAATCTTTGAATGACTACATGATGAATATTTAAATGTGGATAACAAAGTCAAACCCAAACTTCTCCTGCTTGTTCTTGCAGCATAGAGACGGTGGAGGACATGATTAAAATGGGTGTTTACGTGAACGATCTGAACCTGCACGATTCCAGCAGAGAGCTGATTTTAGCTGGGACGCAGCAGTCGGCTGAGCTGCAGCTGGCTCTCGATCAGGTGATGGAAACAAAAACAAAACCCTGAATCTTTTGTGTCCCGATGAAGAGAATCGCTGCAGCCTCAACACGAGGAAATTTATCTGGACCAGGGCGGCAGTTCTAATAAATAGTGTGATTCATTATTATCAAATGTTGCACATGACTGTAAGAGGAGCCAGTTCTCTCCATGCAGCAGTGGAGCAGGTGAGCCCAGGTGAACACTCTGCCCCAGTATTGATTTCACCCATTCAAAGCCACTTCAGTCATGCAGCAGGGATGTGGATTAAAAGGATTAAAAGGAGGCAGAGAGGGATTTCTTTTTCAGAGAGGTGAGACTGTAACTGTAGACCCCTCTGTCCCATTTCTAATCCTCCAGGAGCAACAAAAATATGCTCAGCTGCAGGAAATCATCAAGAAGCTGGACGAGGAGAAGAAGAGAGGCGACTCTCTGTTGTACGCCATGATCCCCAAAGCTGTGGCCGACCGCCTGCGGAAGGGGATCACTGCTCTGGAGACGTGCCAGGTACGAGACCCGGATAGTGACAGTGACCACCAAACGTTAAGATCTCACACAAATGACCAACTGATTTTTTTATGCTGCGTTCCAAGTTCATATGATGCAGTGACCTCAACGGCCACTTTGCTCACAGGATGTGTTGCATCGTAAATTCAATCACGCTGCACCAGATTTCACACACTCGTAGATTTCAGTCCTCTAAATGTAACAGATTTTTCATTTAGATTCATGACTTGTTATCTGAGCAGTTGTTGAAAAGCTCAATAAATTATTAACGTTTCACAATGTTAAAGAAAACTTCTAACATAACCCCCTTGGCCGAGGTAACTCAGCCGAGCTCATACCTCATTCTACATGGACCAGATTGCACTCACACATTGATCAGTCCACTGAATCGGAGAAATTCACAAAAATGGCAAAAACACATTATCTGTGAAAGACGGTGAAAGAAAAATCCTGGTTCCACCTTTTTAATCAAATCTGCTCCAGAATGTATCGGGTTCTTCCTTGGCCTGAATATCACATCCACCAAGTTTCAATAAAATCTGTTCAGTAGTGTTTGCACTTGATCCAGACTTGTATTTGGATCTGCACCAAATTGCACAAACTCATTTTTTGCATCAAGATCCAAGAATTTTTCTCTTTGAGATGTGAAATAAGCCTCAAAAAAAGCAGACAGGTGAAAACATAACCTCTATGGTGGAGATAATTAACTACATGAGTAGAAACTGTTAATATCACAGAGAAACACTAAAACATAACAAACATCTAATTGATGACGAGTCACAGTGAATATACCTGTGTTTGCTTCCTGTGTATTACTGTGTGTGTGTGTGTGTGTTCCAGGTGTTCCCAGATGTGACCATCCTGTTCAGCGACGTGGTGAAGTTTAACGAGATCTGCATCCACATCACGCCCATGCAGGTGGTGGACATGCTCAACGAGATCTACATCGTCTTCGACACGCTGAGCGAGAAGCACAACGTCTATAAGGTACACGCACACACACACACACACACGCACAGACACACACCTCTATCTGCACATGAATTTGTCTCAACTTTCAAAAAAACGACGACCTCCTACAACAAGAATACTTTTAGAAAAACACCTTCTGATGTGTGAATCATTTGTGGTGAGTCCAAACACTCGACTGACACTCATCGTACCTACGAACCGTCACCGTCTGTTTCCAGGTGGAGACGATCCGTGACGCCTACATGGTGGTGGCCGGCGTGCCCAACAAGACCACCTTCCACGCACACCACACCTGTGACATGGCTCTGGACATGTTGAGCTCCATCGACCACCTGAAAGACCCGTCCACTGGGGACAACATCCAGATCAGAGTCGGTGAGCAGCCCCTCTAAATACAGGACAAGATATCATTTCTCTCTATTGTCACTTTTGTTATCTTGGAATTTTAAATGCCGGTGGAAATGTAAAGTGATGAGCTAAATACCTAAATGCAACCAATCTCCATCAGTCAGCACAGGAGCAGTAAAAAGTGTTTTCTGAATAAATCCTCTTGTTTGTTTCCCCTCGCTCAGGTATTCACTCAGGGATGGTGGTGGCCGGTGTCGTGGGTCTGAAGATGCCTCGCTACTGTTTGTTCGGCGACACAGTGAACACGGCCTCGCGGATGGAGAGCAATGGAGTGGTGACTACACTCAGATATTTAACGAGCCGGTGCACATTCGAATGCGCTAAACAACCCACGGCAACAGAATAAATAACTGCAATAACATTCACGATTTCCCTCCGTCACAGTCATTACTACAGAAAACCATTTCCTGTCTAATGACGCCCCGTGCATGTTGCTTTTAAGTTAATGCAACTGGCTAATCGCTTAATTTGCTTTCCATTACTTACAGTAATAGGAGGTAATGTCATGTGTGAGGAACCTGTGCTACGGACAGAGGATAAATTAGGAAGGAGGTGGTTAGTGCAGGTTTGATACCACTGAGCTTAATGTTGTAACTTATATACATACAAATGAGTGGTTGTCTATGTGTGTGTGAGCAGGGCATGCAGATTCACATCAGTCAAACCACCAAAGATCACCTGGAACATGAACCCTACATCATCGAGGAGAGGGGAAAAATCTTTGTAAAGGTGAGGAGGTTCATTGACAAACAACATTTATCAATTTCTCTCATTTCTTTTTAGCAAAATCACTGATTGAAATATTCCGTACATGTCAGGTTTATTAGCACTTTATTCTAAGAGGGAGCATGTTATCTTTTTAAAATGTGACACCCGGAATGAGAGACTCATTATAGACTGTAAATAAAGATGGACGACAAGCCTCCACTTCCTCGCACTATCTAGGAATGAAGCAAAAATAAATTAGGAACGCCGCCATCTTGTGCTTTTGATGTCATTTGGAGCCGGACTCTGTGCAGAGATTGTGGAGTGGCGTCACGGTATCGAGGTCCCGCTGATACACAAGCTCAAACAAACGCAAGTCGGTCTCTTGGCCGGGCTGCACTTGTTGCTGGTGTGTTGTTCACACCGGGGTGTGTCAACTATAATATATCAGTGTGATGAGAACGACCTCAAATGACAGAAACCATCTTTGGAAAAATGTATTTGATTGTTTGCTTTGGCCTTGTATCATGTCCCATCTGCTAACATGGAGATGGTGGGGTTTGTGACCTATGCTGCAGCCAGCCACCAGGGGGAGACCGAGCCGTCATTTCATCTATGTTCAACTTCAGCCAAATCAAAAATGATTGTTATTATTGTTTGAGTAACTAATCTTCCTGGTGCAGGGTAAAGGCTACATGAAGACGTACTGGCTGAAAGGAAAGAAGGATCTATCGTTCAAGACCCCGGCAGAGCTGCGCTACAGCGGCGAACAGAAAGACTCCGAGGAGAAGAGCTCTAATGGGTGAGTAGACCGAAGAACAGTCTGAAGATCACATCTGTTCTGTGTGGACGAACGATGCCCCCTGTTGATTCAGTCAGAGCTGTGCAGCCGCAGGCGGCAAGAAAGATGCTTTTGTTTGTTCGTCATGCAGAATCCAAACACTGTTATTATCATTAGATAAAACTGGCACAGCACAGAACCTCTCTGATTCCATCTAACATCAAGTGTTTGAGACTTATCGTTGAGAATACAAATTAAATAAACAACACAATAAGACGAGAATAGGACTAAGAGTGTATAACCTAATATCAGTTCCCTAAATGGCTGATTCCTGTCATCAAGATCCATTCTTATTCTATAAATCGACTTAAAAAGAAAATAAAAACAGCACATTTTAGCCATAATTGTTACAAAAGTGGAAAAATATGACATTTACACATTAAATTTAAGTAAAACGCATGAAAATGTTGGTAATGCCAGATTTGTTATAGCATCAGTTGCAGCATGTTTCCATAAGAAACAAGATCTGATGTCTTACATCATCTGAAAAGTTTGCTCACTCCTGGTTTAAGATGTTTACACCTATAATCCATGGGACCATATTTAAAAATGTAAGATTTCAGGCAGCGTGACAACACGCGAACTGTGTCTGAATGTTGCCTTTATGTCTAATGTGAATTCAAATAATGTGTAATTGCACTAGCTCCGCAAGCCCCAATACCAAACGCATGGCGTCCAACCTCAACATCGCCAGCAGTGACGAGCAAGCAGAGAGGAAGCCGAGCCCAACCGAACTCCCCCAGGAAACCCTGCCCCCACAAGAGGCCCCCAACGAGCCCCGCAGTCCCTCGGTCGAGCCCCAGGACAAGGAGAAAGCCAAAAAGACTAGGAACAGCAAGGTGTCCAGGTTGGAAGTGCCCCAGGCAACCGCAATGGTGGAGGATTTGCCACCCACCGACGGGCTGGAGAACCCGGGTCCTTTACTCAACATCAAGAGAAACAGCTTCAGGCAGCAGTACGCCAAGCTGCCCACCAACCTGCCCATGCGCAGCGCCTCCTGCTCCATTCTGTGAGAGGGAGGCCGCAGTGAGAGGATGAGACAACGCCACCATGCGCCGAGGGTTTAAAGTTTTATCAGGGGCCAGACAAATGGTTACAGACGATCTGTATTTTTACATCATGTCCGAGGGGTGGGACAGATTTTGGCTTTTATTACATCGAGAGTCAAACAAGAGTTTCTTGGCAACTTAAACTTAACACCAATGTTAACTTTTAAAGATTTCCCACTAAAGTTCACCTGCACACTTCAGGTGTTAGCTGAAGAAAAATCCCTCTACACTGTTTTCAAATGGATAAAAAGATGTTCTTCAGCATTAAACTACAGGACGACGATGAGATTAATTCAGATTTTCTTTACACGATTTGCTGTATTTTTGATAAGAAATCCATCTCACTGATTTTACTTCAACAGGAAAAATGCTCAAATATATAATGACAACAAATGACAGGATGTTTTGGGAAATGAAAATAAACCATCTGATTACAGGGTTTACATTATCTGACCAAGACCGGAGAGCGTCCACATTACGGATGCTTCATTTCATTCACTGAGAATAGACGTGATAGGTTGTATTTTATTAAAAGTAGACGAATGGCCATTCAGCGTAGAGTTTCACAACATTGTCTCCGTGAGTTCGAGCCTCTGTATGTAACTGACTGCATTTGTTTCACTGTATGACAGTGTCTATTTATATAAAACTGTATGTACAGCCACTACAAATGTTTTTGTATTTTTATAATTAGGTCAAAACACTTGACCCAGCAGGTGAAACCAGAAATATCACTATAATAATAGTTGAGCAAACACCTCCACCAGGGCGGAACAATCCTGCACAAGATTGTCCTGAAGAAGAAAAAAAAATCTGCACACACGCACACATTTAATTACTTAATATAGCGTTTGATTCCACCAATGTCAAATGATCCTTGTGGGATTAAAGAGGCAAACAAACCAACAAGAAGGTAGACTTCAACCAAGGCCTACGCTCTATCTTTCTATGTTTAAGAAAGTGAAAAACTGAAAGTGAAGAACTGCTCCAAATTTTAGTGAGCTCTTCCTCGGGTCAGGCCCGACCCCTTGGCAAAATGTAATGGAAATCACTTCTGCAGTTTTTGCATTATCATGTTCACAAACACACAAATAAAGGCAGATGAATGTAGAAGGGTTCATGGCCACTGTCACCATGTTGCATAGACATGTACTGAGATCAGATAACTCCAGATCATTATACGGATCTGCAGCAAATTTCTCATGTTCATAGATATTAGCACATTACACCAAAAACGCCCATTTCCTGGATCCAACCCCTTAAATAGAATACGCTCCAAAAGTTACTGGATGCTTCCTTGGCCCATCGATCTCACCGGGCTGCGAGAGGAACGACACCACGAGCACAGAGAGCACCTGAGCTCGCCAGATCCTACGTCCAAATCTGACGCCAAATCTTCAGGCACAATTCCCTGACCTTAGCGGTTATGAGGTCGGTTATTCCAGTCTTAGTCAACTGGTGATAACACACTGCCATTATGTGTGTGTGTGTGTGTGTGTGTGTGTGTGTGTGAGGTCAGAGGCTGGCAGATCTGTGTGATCTCTTAATGAAAGATAAGTGACATAATTGAAGTTCCTCTTATTATTTCATGACCTAAAGAGGCAAATGTGTAGCTGTGTACAGTGTGAAGGTGAGACAGGTGAGAGCTAACACACACACACACACACACCCACACACACACACACCATCGACCCCTCAAACACACAAACACACATTCAGCCGAGTGCTCCCTCGCTGATGTTTCCTCGTGCGATGTCATTACACGATAAAGAGGAAGCCATCAGGAAACCGCTTAAGCACTACTTCCTGTCTGTTGCCACGGTAACAGTCCTCTCTCTGCAGTTGCAAAGTTTACTGTGACTTTAATTTCTTGCAGAAGGAGGAGTTGAGAAAACAAAGAGGCAGGTGTGTTTCCATCTCGTGGGTCCGAGGTCCTGTGCAGACACAACTCTGAGTCCAGCTGGGTCTCAGCGTGACCTCTGACCCGACATCTGACAACGATCAAGGTCTTCCAGCGTTCATTGGTCAGGATTGTTGTTTTTTTTGACTGGCCGCCCTTCAGCAGCACAGCTGGTTGCCATTCAGATAAACCTACACATAAACACACGGCGCAGGAATCAGTCACTTCCTGATTCTGAATGAATCATTGAATTCATGACATGTTCGCTGACTGATTGTTTTGTTGTCGTGATGTTGGTTTTACCCTCAGTTGTGTTTATTTTTCACTCAGACGTTCACAGGATGGGAGTTTTATGGCGTACAGCTCAAACAAAGCTTAATTCATAAGACAAATATAAACTTTTAGTTTTACTGTGACTTCAATCAAACTCACCAGTTCTAAAAAGGGAAATTACTTTATGATGTGAACTTCTCACCATGATAAATTAGTTATCAGGGAATTATATCTCTGTAATGTCGATTTGCATCATTTCGCAGGTTGGATCAAGCTAAAACACAAATCACAGTCCCTTAAATTCTGCACCAAACACATCACGTGCATTGGGACATATATCTAAAACGATTGTAGATGCTTATAAACTATTAATTCCCTCCTGTATCCATGTTTTCTAGCTACATATTGATGGTAGTTGCAAGATTCCTGCTCTGTTTGTAACTGCACAACAGCTGCATAAAGCCTATTTCCTTATGAAACCACATTTATAGATCCAGATTTTTATTTAACTCTACACCAAGTTGCACAAACACATAGATATCAGATCAGCGGCAGGATGGGACATGGGCCACCATGGTTTCAAATAAATCTGTTGATGATAGATTTCTAAACATGATTTAAAAAAAAAACTAAACTGACAAGAGGTCAGGCAAAACCTGAAAACACCAGGATGGTAAACAGTTTATAAATCCATATCCTGTAAAAGAACGCTGCCCTCCTGCACCAATGACGTAAATTGGAGCCAGAGTCTGCCGGAAGTGATCGGTAGTCGGGACGTCAATTAAAACCAAACTTATGAGAAACATTAACACTTGAACAAATCTGCGTGATAAGAACAACCCAAAGAAACATTTATTTAATGTGTAATTAGATTTTTCTGTTTAGAATCCTTCTGTGGAAGGATTAAAACCATGTTAAATGTTTGAAGGTGCACACGCAGCATTACTGCAACTTAGGACTGAACATTAAACACAACTATGGCTTTACAAGCAGATAAAACACACACACAGAGCTAGATATCGTCACATACATCAGCTCCACCTTTAGTCCATAAAGTACCTTTTACCACTGTGGGTCAGTAAAAGTTTCATTTCAGCCTGTGAGCTATGACCGTGCGTCAGAATGACACAGACACACACAGACACACACAGACACACACAGAGGTGACACAGTGCACAACGCCACTGACAGGAGCCACATTCCAGCCAAGGTGAACAACAAAAAGGGGGTTAAGCCGCTCCCCTTTCAAGCGGCTGCATCACTGGATTATTGCTAAATTCTTTCTGGGGTTTTCACTTGTCAGGACAAGCAGAGGCAGAGCGTCAGCAATACAGACAGAGAGGGAGTAGAGAGAGAGAGAGAGAGAGATTCAAAAAGAGTGTGAGAAACAGATGAGTGAGGGCAAGAGAGGAACACAGTGGTTTCAAGAGTTAGAGTTTCAGGGAAACGAGAGAGAGAGAGAGAGAGAGAGACATACAGGCTGAGGGGTGTGTCATAGCAATTTAGTTCCTCAAGGAAGTACAACTCAACATTATCTTAAGACAGTGTGGCAGGAACAGAGAAGCTGCAGGAGGGCTGCTGCTGTTTTCTGGGTTTTGGTTCTGCTCCTGCTGAAGATGGAGGGATCTTTGTAAATCCAGCGGCCTGAGCCGTCAACCCAGAGCAGAGGGAGAGAGAGAGAGAGAGACACAGCCGAGGAGGGAGGGGGACCCAGCACACACTCACACACACACAGAGACACACAAAAAGGTAAGACACTCCTGTCTCGCTCGTGTGCCACTTAAAAGAATCCTCTGGGCCCAGATTAGTGCTGGAAAAATGAAGTGTTGGTTGTCTGGCTCTCCGGCACAGACACACTCAGAGTGATGATTGGAACAAATTGTGTGTTGACTCTCCACTTCCCCATCTTGGGCGCGAGCTGGGAGATGTGCTCGTACGCTCACGGTCATGCTGGAACAAGTACAGTGACATGCACAGATGTGGAGCTCACGCTTTCTGTTTGCACAGGCTGCGAGTTGCTCGACTCAAATCTCGAGGCAGAGGACTTTCCCTTCCTCCCTCGCTGGGCTGGTCTACTTTGAACTGAGGCACGTTAGGCCGAAGCCAAAGACTGTGAAGAGGTTGAGAAGTCACCCCCGCTATGGTGCAGATACGAGAGATGAATTATAAACTGTGGGCCTTTGCGGATGACACACCGCTCTCAGCCAACTGCCGTCTGTTTCGCTTCCCTTTTCAGGTTTGAGCAATGACAATTCGGAAGAGTTGTGAAATGTTGACAAAAAAACTGCTATATGTGCATTCTGAGGGTTTCAGAGCCCTCTCTCGTTTATCGCAGATGGTTTAGCGACGCGGTTCGGTCGACTCACTGAAGTAAGTTTAAATCCAAGAGTTACACAACAAGTTGAAGTGCTAAACAATATCAGCAAATCTCAACCTACAGCCTCGTCCTGCCAAGTTCAAAAGAGACAGCGGAAGTGACATTTCACCATCACATGCTGAAGGCTGCTGTAGTTTCACTGGTAACATTTTCTCCCGCCTAATTACCAGGAGAAAATAAAAGTCTCATTAAATCTGATTGACTGGTTTGGCTTTTCTGGAACGTTGTCATTGTTCAACCTGATGAAAAGGCTGCAGGTCTTTGAAAAGAGACCAAACCGCCTGAGGTCGTCCAGTGTATCTGTCGAGCTCATAATAATGAGGCCCTGCTCATGTCTTCTAACTGTACAAGACACATTTTCATTGGCCAAGTCAAAAGGGGGCTTCATGAATCCCCCCTCTGCAACACACAGAACATTCTCTAATTCCCAAACATACATGAATGCACCAGAAACCACTTTTACTGAGAAATGCACACAGGTTCATACATGCACACAAACACTGAGGCTCAAACGCTGGTGTCATCTGAGGAATGCTAAATATTTACCTCTCCTGCCTGCCTGGATGGATCCACCAATCATTGACCTCTCTCTGACTGTCCGTTAACATTTGAGGATTCTTCCCCACATGCTGTTCCAACAACTCTGAATCTTAACACGAGCATCTCCGCTGTGATAGAAAGACCTCTGCTCTTGTCATTTTTTAAATTTAGTTCCCCAGACGGTGGCAGATCTCACAGAGTGCACCCTCACCAGCAGGTGTTAAGAAGGAGAACAGATAATTGAACATTTAACGCAGATGACAAACTGGTGTTTAAAGGCGCTCGTCGTTCATCTGCACCTGAAAAATTAATGCTCAACATTGAAAGTGTCCTTGATGTGACTGACGTCCACGACAAGAAAGTGGAGCTGCGGTTTCAGTGCTCTGCAAACAGCCCTGATAGATCCACATGAAGTCAACAATGGAGATGGATGAAAAGCCGAGCGACGAGCCGTCTCCAGCTGCCGAGTTACATTTCGTTATGAGGAGCTCTGGCTGGCGAATCCCTGCTGTTCACGTCCCTCAAATCCCTGTAGTCCTTTTAGCAAATGAATGAGATTGAAGCATGAATCTGAAATAGCTATCACGCTGCTCCACTTCCATTATCACCGTTAAGGGAAATTAATCTAATGAATGTTCTCTAATTCCCCACAGGGAATCCGAAGCTTTCGTAACACAGCAAGCCATTAGAAATGTCACACTTGTTCAGAATGAGTGGCTGAGCATGTAAAACAGAACTGAGTGAGATATCCTGTGAAAATGGCCGCGTGGTAATTACGGATGCTGCAGCAGGGATTCGGATGCAGGCCGGCGTCGGGTAGAGTCATCTCAAAGTGCTGCATATTAGCATTATATGATCATTAATGCGACCGAAGCTCTTTCAGGTTTTTTAGTGAACCGTGGAGTCGTTTGCTCGCAGCGCTGACTGTGCATCGCTAACGCTGGACAATGAGAAAAGCATCATTGTCTAATAAGCACAAACAGCCATGAAGGAAACACATTAGAGCCTCCATCAGGGAGACAGTCACTGACAGCTTACGGAGAATATGTTGGTGCTAATGCACAGGATGTTTCAGTAACTTCACCGTTGTTTTACACAAGCACAGACCCCAGGATAGTAATTAAAGTAGCCACCAGGCTCGTGTTGCTCACTCTCTGTCTTTGCCCCAACATTGATGCAATCTGGAAACTGCAGGCACGGACCTGCTTCAGCTATGCAGCCTCCCTGCTTCTCTCAAATACTTGTTCACACAAGCCACACAAGAGGGATTCAGTGCAGAAAGTTAGACTGAAAAACCCTCAGTGAACGTCGCCTGTTTGCAGTCTTAGCCTGTAAACGTGTTAAAATAAAAAGACATAGGAAGTGGGAGCTGTGTCAGTGGAACTGATGCATGGTAAAGATTTGTTTGACGTTCTTCTCAACATTTCGACTTCATTTGCAAAAAAATGAAGAAAATCCTGATTTAGTGATTTGATTCTCAACATTTTTTCTTTATTGACAAAACACGTAAAAACTTCCTCCTGTAATTTTGTTTCATCGTGGCTGGCCCTAACACTTTTCTGTAATTTCATCCGTCCATTATAATCCATTTCAAAAACATGGGCAAAGTAAACATGAATTCTTCAGTTTATAATCCACTCTTGCTTTGGTGTCAGAGATTAGGGAGAAATAAATCTGAATTAAAATGGAATTAATTCCATCTGTGTTGACTATCAAAGACAAACAGTGGATTCTGTGTCGTGTGGAGCCGTTTGCATGTTGATGACCTCCCGGCGGGGCTTCTCTGTGATGGATGCTACATGTGGTTAAAATCTCAGTGGAGAAATTAAAAGCCTCTGTGGAGTCTCCTCCATGGAGCTTTTCCCTCTCGGCTTCATACATGTCAGATCCAAACACAAACACTGCAGCTAACGTTACACAAAAGCTTCCGATGAAACACTACACTGTATTTTCACCGTTGATTTAGCGGCGCGGAAAAAAAACGATTTACTTTTAAAAACTGTCAAATACTGAATGTGTATTAATAATAGGGACAGTGAATTGTACTTCAGTGATGAGGTGTTGGGATGGATGACAATCTGAAGGTTAGAGAGTCGCAGTAATGACTGGAGAGTCGCCAGTTCAATTCCCCAGATGATGGAGGAAATTTGGATGAGAGAGGTGAGCATGTGTTGCCTCCTCCCCAGACTCCACAACAACAAACGCTTTGCCCTTGAACACAGCACTTAACCTCCATCTCCTCCGCTGGTGTCTGGCAGCAGAAGAATGAAGCTGTGCCTGACCGCAAAGTGTGAAAACGCTCTTCTTATAAGGCTCAACTATTCTCTTAAAGTTGGATTATTTTACATTTAGTACTTTTTATTTTGGATAATATTATTTTTCCCCAGGAGGAGAAAAATTCAAATTTATGTTCAATAAAAACTAAATCAGTTAATTATTTTTTCTTCTGTGAGTCTTAAGTTCAGTGAGCAGATTTCATGTTGAAGGATTAATGGGCGTGACGTCCTAAAGAGTTTGTGTTTATTACAGTTTAAAAAAATAGCTAATTTGCGACATTTAGGGACCTTCTGACTTTTCAGTTTAATCTGAACCTAAATATCACGGTCTGAACCAATTGACCGAATTTTGTGTGACTAACAGCTGGGTTCTGGGTCTGGATCAAACTGAACCATGGTTCTGTTTGTTTGCAGAGTGAAACACTTTTCTGATTAGTTTGGACATTTGGACCAATCACAGGAGGTAGAGACAGTATTAAACTGCATCCTTAAACTGTCGCCACGTGATTTAATTATTTCCACCGGCTGTTGGATTATTATTTCTCTTATTCTTGTTTATCTTTAATTTGTGGTTTTCTTTCCCCTGACATTTCAGGCAGACATGGACGCCTTCAGCACCAAGGACATGGCCTTGAAGGTGCAGAAGAAGATCTTCAGCTCCATGGCCAGCAAGAGCTCAGTGCAAATGTTCATCGATGACACCACCAGCGAGATCCTGGACGAACTGTATCGCATCTCCAAAGAGTACTCGGGAAATAAGACAGAGGCCCAGAAAGTGATCAAAGACCTGTGCAAGATCGCGGTGAAGATTGGCATCCTGTTCAGAAACAACAGGTTCAGCACAGAGGAGCTGGGTTTGGCCCAGGACTTTAAGAAAAAGCTGCATCAGGGGGCGATGACTGCGATCAGCTTCTACGAGGTAGGTTTTCTCATATTGAGCTTTAATAAAGGCAGATGTTGTATGCAGTGATTTGAAGCAAATATAATTAAATCTGTCAATAATATTTCTAATTTACCACAGATAAATAAATATCTGGAGAAAAAGTGCACTTGTAATTGTTCAGGGACAAAAAGTCAATTTAATAAAAAACTTGATGAACAGAAACCACTTCAAGCCGTCTATATGCCTCTAAAGTTATATAGTCAAGAGTGGACGTGTGTTTTACCTGCAGCTCAAACTTTCTATGAAGTGTTGGATTAATTTTAGTTCAACTACACACTCAGTGACTTTAACAGCCTGTTTCCACAGAACTTAAATAGGTTTATTTCACACTTTGATTTTAGATTTGAGTCAAAATGATTCATGACAAGATTATAACAGTTCCAACCTCTAGGAACTAAAAGTCAAGTCAAAATGATCCTGTATATAAACACTGCGCTATAAGTTATAATTTCTATTGTGTGTTGTATTAACAAATTAAGACGTTTGCATTAAATTGGCGAGGTATACAGAATCTTAAGCATCCACAATTATATTTTAAGATGGAAAATCAACTACAAAATTATACAATCACCAAAGTTACTTTCACATGTATCAAGCATTTGTTCACCTGGGCATATTTATTGGCTTGAGTAAATATTTGACGTGGTTGCACCACCTTAAGTTTATAGACATTAGTGTATGTGATGAGTGTGTTTATGTCTTAGTTTGGCCCATATCCCATCTGCTAACATGAAGGAGACCGGTTTATGACATGTACTGCAGACAGCCACCAGGGGGCAATCAAGACATTTTGGCTTCACTTTAGGGGATCTGTCGTGTCGTCCATCTTTATTTACAGTCCAGTTTTATTTATGTTTCCTGACCGATGCAGGTGGATTTCACCTTCGACAAAGCGGTGATGGCCGACCTCCTGACGAACTGCAGGGATCTGCTGCTGAAGCTGGTCAACACACACCTCACCCCCAAATCCCACGGTCGCATCAACCACGTCTTCAACCATTACTCCGACCCGGAGCTGCTGACCAAACTGTACGACCCCAACGGCCCCTTTCGACCGAACCTCACCAAGATCTGCAAAGGACTCGACAAACTGGTGGAGGACGGCACAATATGACGGAGGAGCAGCGTCAGTCAGACACTGGGAGATCTAAAGGCAGACACTGACGACTATGAACTGCTGGACAAGGACAAAAAAATTTTAAAATATATACTGCTGCTGAGGACCGGCAACGAAAGACGAGCTCCCCCATTGTTCTGGAAGAATACATGGGATAAAAATAAAGGTGGTTGAGTCATCCCTTTAATTTTGTTTTTAGGTTTAGAGGAGATATATTGTCCATGGACACCAAACTTGAATTTAAACAGATTTATATTCCGCTGTTTTATTAGATAGTAAATTGTCATCAGATGTTTATAATTTGAAAAGTTACTACTGAAGTTCTGCATTATGGAGAAAACACACAGAACAAGTCAGGGGACAGTGCCACTGTAATCCAGCACTGCCATCTGGTGGTCAAAGTGATGTAGCAGCAACTCAACGTGCAGAAACAGTCCGGCCGATAACAGAGAACCTCACAGTGGACAATTACTCCCACCATCACTTTGCAGTTACAAACATGTTTGAAAGCATCACACTGTTGACGGCACAAGCTTCAATCTTAATCCTATAATTTGTGTTTTCCTGAAAAACGGCTGACAATCATTGGTTGAGATAAATACTTGTGTGTTATTCTTTTGGTTTCCATGATAATGATGTTTAATTTCAACAGACAAAGGGAAAGTGAAGTCCTGACCGGACGTTCCAGCTCATGTAACAGTCTTTTCCTTTCGTGTAACAATAACATGGACAGACGTCAGTTACAGAAACAGATCGATGACGGAGAAAATATATTCAGACCTAAGCATGGGATCAAATACCGTTTTTTGCTTTAAAATAAACTATAAAAAAAGTTATTGGAATTGAAAACATTTCCATAAAAAATAAAGAATATTGCTGTGGAAATATATTCTAAAAAAAAAGTCTCTTTTTTTAAACTTTGGCTTCATTGTAGTTTTACTTATTCAGGAAAAAAACATTTATGGTCAATTCTGTGTTTTACAGCGAACCTGACAGACTGTATGCACTTTACATATCACGGATCATGGCATCAAGTATTTTTTGCTGGAAGACTTAGACATTTTTTGCACTTTCAAGCCATGAGGTAGCATTACACACAACCACGTGTTGACTTGTGAACGGTCATATGACTGAACCAACAT